CAGATAACCACGCCTTCAAGTCACATCATTGGTTGAGAAATGTTGCTCTGTCGTGCTGATCATTGATATGTGGCCTACATATTTACATACATATCTATAGTGCTGATGTTCTTGATGCTCAAACACGGCTGATAGTGTCACGGAGTCATTGTTTTAACTTTACGAAAATGTGCATACAAATGCCTTAGTTGGAATAGGAGAAAGTATTTTAACATTAAACAAAATATACATAAGCTTTAAAGTTCATGAAAACGTTCACGGCCAAGCAGCCCAGTAACGTAACCAATTGTCACGAGGTCTGTGTAACCCTCGTTATCCAATCCGCGTAAGCGCGGAAGCTGATTGGCTCTTTTCTTGTCCAATGTCATTCTAGGAAGTTCTATGTTGGAGGAGATTTAATTTAGGGAATAGTCACAGTATATTGTGCATTCCATAGAGAATAATTCAGGTAAGGGAACTAAACCTACGCAAGAAAATACACATCCATTTAAAAATAATAAAAAATGAAATGTAAAGCGACATATCAGTCATTTTAAAATATGGCATTGAATAGAGCGCGAAAATTAACGCGGTGATACTCGGTAAGCTGTGATAAAAATGTATTTTAAATGCTATTGTTTAAAACTTATAATAAGTGTGTTATGTAATAGTGTGTGTGTGTGTTTCTCTAGGTGTTAAAAACATACAAACAATAAAATATATTTTTATATATAAATATAAATATATATATTAAGATATATTAATATAAATATATTTTAATTAGCTACATATATAGTATAAATAATGCATATAGTAAAAAATAATAATAATAATAATTAAAAACAACATATTTTATGTGTGTGTCCACAGGACACCCTGATAAACATGCTGCAGTGCTTTGAGTTTCACCAGTCACATTCATAGTCTGAAAAGTCATCCTCACCGTCTATCTGAAAACAATGAGAGAAGTCAGCTGCTTTATTAATTATGCTCAATGCAAGTTTTTTATGCATATATTTTGACATATGGAAGGGGTCATGTGATACATACTGAAGTCTATGGCCTTTGTGTCTGCAGAATCAGAGTCGGAGAGTGAAGACTCTCCATTATCTTGCACACCACCACAGTTCCTAAAAGCCAAGAACATGTACACCTACAGTCGCATAAACAAGTATACAGGTGACGTTTATGTATTTAAAACATAAAATATATTATATGGTATTTATTTTCACTTACACTGCTGTATATATACATTTATAAACAGTACGATTAAGTGACAAAAAGAGGGACCCTCAGAGCCAGAACTCTGAGAGATTTATCATAAATGCTGTGGAGCAGCAAGAACACCAGATTATGTGTGACGGACAAAGCAATTTGTCAGAAGCCCAAACTGCAGAAGACAAAGACCTGTGGCCTGTTGATGATAGCGAGCCATCACAAAGCTCTCTAGATTCCAACTCCACAACTTCCTCCTTCAATACAGGTGAAAAAATCTTGTCTTTCTTTGGTGTTATATATCAATTAAATCCACATACTGAAACTTAAAGGATACCCAGGGTTATTTTTTGTTATCAGGGAGCACTGAAGCTGAATCTACCTGTAGTTTCTGTGAAGACCAGACAGGAAGTGAATATGGAAGCCCAGGGAGAAATATGTTGGATACACCTCCATCCGGGTTTGGATATTTAATTTATGTTTGTGAATAGCAGAGAAATGACAGCTTGAGATGTACCTATGTGCAAGCTTGTAACTAATTTTTATGTTTTGCTATATCTTCAGATCAGGAATTCTTCTGAAAGACCCCATGCTTGGAGCTTTTCCGGCTGCATGGAAAAAGCGTTTCCCTTTCAGCCCTACGCTGCCAAAAACACCAGTACTGCCTTTGCGTCCACCCCTTCGGGAAGCAGACAGCCTGACCCTCAACCCATCACTGCTCATATCACCTTCTCAAGGCCTGAGCCATTCTCTCCATCCAGAAGGACGAGAGGCGCTACAAAGTAAAGATAATCCATATAGGCCTACACATATTTTATTGGATATTCATTCTATACTAATATAGACTAGCAATGTATACTACACTCAGTAAAAAGGTACAAAAGCTGTCACTGGGGTGGTACCTTTTCAAAAAGTACACCTTTGTACCTTCTTTACCCTTAAAAGGTGCATAATAGTAGTTTAAAGGTACATATTAGTCCCTCAAGTGTACATATTTGTACCAAATTGGTACATATTAGTGCCTTTTGAAAGGGCACCGCCCCACTGACAGCTTTTGTACCTTTTTTCTGAGCATGTATTTATTAAATAGATGCATTGCTTGTTTTATGAATAATGTATTGTTTAAAACTTTTAGGCAGTTAGGCAAAATCTGCTTGGAGCCAAATGTGCACATTACTGACAGTGTGAAATTACAAACAAGACAGTGTTGCTGTTATGCTGACTGAACAATATTTTTTTTTACCCTAACAGCATTATTCGAGGACGTGTGGGTCACCCCAGAATCTACCGTCTTAAAAAGTCCCAGCTTGCCAGGCAGCTTTGCAAATGACTCAGTAGGCCACATTTTGTGATCCTTCTTTACCTGCATATACAGGGGGGGTCCAAAATTCTGAGATCACAATGAAAATATGGGATTTACCCTCAGAGACCCAGCAAAACAGAACAGCAATGTTTGTGTATACTGTAGAAATAAAATAATACCTAACTTTCACTTAATAAGTGTTTCTACACGTAACAGTGTCTAGTGACGGGGAAAAGGCTTACATGCCCTGAAATTTTGAAAGTATATACATTTGAGATCATTTGTCTTGCATTTTTGTAGCAAAAATACAACGCTGGACATTAGTGGTCAAATGGAGCTACAGTGGAGCCCAATTTTCTAAAAAAAAATTTTTTTTTTCAAATTCCAGTTTTTTTTTTTTTTTACTGTTTCATCATTATTGTCTCATTGATATAACAGTAACAATAACAATATTTTCAAATTCAAACATTTAAAATATGCTTTGATATAAATATTTGTTACAGTATTTAAATATATTATTTTTCAAATACATTTGTGGTATATTTTCACAACTTACAACTTTCACTTATTGTATCAAAAATGGTGAAATTTTGCAGCCCTAAATGCAAACCAGCATTTAAATTCTGCAAAGTTTTCCAAATTGTAATCCAATGAAAATTCTGCCTAAAAAAAAATTGGTTTCATAAAGACATTTTTAAGAGTGGAAAAAATAATACATCATGAATATGATTGGGTCTCTGAGGCTTAAGCCGTTTTACATTTCAAAAATGTAAAATCAGGAAACATTATGATGTCAAATTAATTTAAGAATCTACAAATAAGCTAATTTGTGACACTGATTATGTGATTCCTTTGTACAGACTGTCAACATTTCATTCAAAAAGCTGAAATATAAATTACAATGACAAAATTGGAATGAGAAAAAATGCAAAATAGAAGCATTTTCACTTGTGGACTTTTGGACCCCTATTGTATATTAGTTTATTGAGATATGGAGCTCTCTTATGTATGGTATCTTCTCTGTACTGCAAATTGGAAGACTGTCATGAGTGCTGGAAGTGGCAGCAATCTGTCCTTCAAGAGTGAGTAAGAGAACAAAAGCTCGGAAGATGAGACCCCAGAACAACTCGTTCCCTTGAAGAGAGCAAGAAAAGTCTGTTCACACAGGCACACTTCAAGAAGAGGACGTGTTCCAACACAGCCAAACCCTAAGACGAAATGTGTGAACGGCTTCATTATGTTCTGCCGAATGAACAGAAAATTATATATCAGGTGTGTATAAGTACTATTTTTTCTTAACATTAATGATACATCCTGTTAAACCAATCTAAATAAATATATTATTTCGGCATGGATCCTATCCCGGCATCCCCTCTACTACAGTCACTAAAGAGTTAGCCAGTCTATGGCACATCTTGCCCAAGAGGGAGAGACGTTTGTACTGGTAGGCTCTCTGAATTCTCCAATCTTCATTGAGGCTTGTCTGTTGCAGTGCAATTTCAAATAAACCTTTCTCTGTTTTTTAGCTTGAAAGCCTGGAGCTTCAGTCACCAGCAGAACCGCAATGTACGCGCTCAAAAACACGAGGCAGAAATGAAGGCAGAACGCTCTGTGCCCAGTCCACTGCACATGTTACTGGCCTATAGAGACAAGTATGCAGCTGTCAAATGAAGGTCTTCACACCTCAGTTACCTACTGCATTGAGAATATATGCTTGAAAGGTCTAAGAAAAACAGGCCAAACAGACTACTGTTTTTTAAACAACTGCATTATATAGTTCGATACAGTTTTATTAAGGTTAATCACTGTTGTAATTTTATACAATTGCATCTCAGGGATTTTAAAATAAGTAATTTATTGTGTGTTAAGTATATTTTTTATTGTTCTGCAGTTTTTAATCATCACGGAGCATTTGTACGTATACTGTTTTCAGCATTTTTCATTGTGACTTAAAATTGGTAGATTAAACATTCAGACTTTTATTACTTATTTATAATATATGGCAATTGTTAAGTATCTATCTTTGTATATATATTTATATATTTATTATAATGTTGTATATTAAGCTGGTTTATAGCTTTTTTTTATAGCCTTAACCTAATTATTCAGTAAGAAGCCTTAGAGGAGCTGTAATATGCTTCCCAAGAGAGTTACCAACCTTATGAAAGTTGTTCTGGTTTGTACTGTGCTGTTAATAAACCTTGATTGAGTTCAGTTTGTTTGGGTTTTCAAGCTCATGTGAGACCTGTGCCAGCAGAAAGTTCAGAAGAACTGGAACATTGTCATTTGTAAGTACGTTCATAAGTTACTACATACTAGGTTTGTTCATGAAATATTTCGAATAATTTGATTAGGCTTTCAGTCACTAATGGCTCCATTTAACAAATCTTAAAATTTTTAAATCCATTCAGCAGATTTTTACCTCCCACATCAGTGCAGAAAATGCAAAAAGATTTTTTTTTTTTTCCAGATTTGTAGTCTTTGTCTGCAACCTTGCATTAGGCTACTCCATCCCTCCAGGTGTCGTGTTTAAAATGTTGCTGATTTTGTGTAGTTGTGCAACTGCACAGAGGGACTCTTCTCTCAGATGTTGGTTGCTAATGCGAAGCTTCAACACCTCTGCCAGAAGAGCCACCTTGTCTCTCTTCTCCTGAATCAGAGGACAGAGGAACACATGGTGCTTGTGAGCATGTTTGTCCTCTATGAGAGCACGTAGTACACACTTTTCTCATTTATTAACTGCTAAATGAGCCTCACCTTCAGCAGGTCACCACTCAGTCGCCTAAGCATCCCTTCCAGGTGAGAGAGTTGGTCGGGAAAGTCAATGAATACATCACTGCTAAAAAAAATTAATAATCATGTACGCTCTTAAAAATAAAGGTTTCAAATGGGAGTTTTTGTAGTGATGAACCATTTTGGTTTCCCAAAGATCCTTTCAGTGAAAAGTTCTTTTAAGAACCATTTTTTCTTAGTGTGAAGAACATTTTAATAATCTAAAGAACCTTTTTGTATTAAAATAAACCTTCTGTGGAATGGAAAGGTTCCATGGATGTTAAAGGTTCTTCATGGAACCATAGATGTATTTTTAAGAGTAAATTTTTTTTTTTTCAAGTGTGTATTATTCAAAGAAGGAACATCAGCAGTTTAAACATTCATTTACTGTTTTGAAAATGAATCCAAAATTGCGTTCAATTAATAAAACTATGCCCCACTTACGCCATATCTTCTCCACTGCAATAGGCGCTGGATTGGTGGATCTTGTAGGGTCCATGGGACGGTGTGTCTGGCCTGCTTGATACAGGACTCATTTCTGACAAAAGGGTTGCCATCCTTTGTGCTGGAAATATATTGTAATCATGGAATCATTTATTTTAATACTACTACTAATAAGTCATTGCATTAAACAAATTATGAAGCCAACTATACAACATATAACTATGTATGCAGTTACAAATGACGGTCTGAATAAAATTATTAATTTATTTGAAGAAAAAATAAACAGATTCAGTCAGGAACAAAACAAAAACGGTTTTATAAGCAAATGATTGAACAATTGTTGAAAAATTCTGATTCATTCATTCAGGAACGAATCACCCCAGCCATGTGATGCTTGGAGGCGCTTTATGCTGATTCACTTGGAACTATTTTTGCTTACTGAGTTAAAATTAAAGCATCTGGCAATGTTGTGTCTAAAATGCATGTTACTCGTATTAAACTTCTTACTGAACTGTTACATTTAGGTAATATCACAAATTAATATAAATATCACTTTAAGGGATATTCATACATCCACTAAAAATCACCATGGCACTGGGTTAGTTTCAAAAATGGCTCAAAGAAGTATATAAAAAAAGACGAATAAGGGGCCGTTCACACAGAATGCATTTTTGCATGCCACTGTGCTGCTTTTCTATGTGAACACACAATAGATTCACTTTCATTAACTTTCAGTAGATCATGTCCTCTGTGCTTGACAAAACATTATAAAAATGTGGCTCAAGTTAAAAGTAGTTAACTTTAAAGAAGTTAAGGTCTCTTGACCTTGCATTTTGTTTAGTTTTTTTCCGTTCCACTTCCTCGCGTCTCACGACATATAAAAATGAAGTTACGGTAGTTCAGAGAAAAGCTCTAGAACAGAAGTGTCCAACCCTGTTCCTGGAAGGCCATTGTCTTCTGTCCTGTGTTGGAGCTAAACTCCGCAGGACAGTGGGCCTCCAGGAACAGGTTTGGACACCCCTGATCTATTGCAATTACATACAATAGCAAATGTGGCTTAAATTTAAAAATAGACATTTGGGACCACTGTATGTGAACAATCTTAACTCAACATATTTATTTGTCCTTTGATACTTACTCTCATATTCTTGGGCTGCTTGAACTAAACTATTCCAGTCGAGATCACAGGCTGTGCTTGGCAGGGACATGAGTTCAGGATCAGGATGCTGGTCTCTGTCCCACAGGTCAGATTCAGCCTGCTCAGGCAATCCTCCACATTCTAGGAAAAGACAACCGGTGAGTGCCAATGTATACTAGAAAAAGCAAAAATCTCTTTAAGTCAAGGTCATACCAGTTGAAGAGCAACTGATAAAACCAGAATATATGTGAACTGCAACAGAACATATAATTACTATAGCATATAATAATGACGTTATGCTTCATAGAAGGAATAACTCTTGCCTGTTTGACGTGTTTGCAGGTGGAGATGGATGGGTGTGAGTGCGGGAGACTCTGGGTTTGATTGGTAAGCTTGACTGAATAATGATGGACTTGGGCATGAACCTGACATTCGCAAACTGCTGGAAAGCCCCGCCTCTTTTTGTTGAGGTGACTACAAATAGACAGTAAACACATTGCAACATGGCAACACTGCTCACATACCAATACTCAGCAGAACAATACCTGCTTTTTCACATTATTGTCCTAGGTTGTCAGGTTGTTTAGGGTCAAACTGCTGAATGTGAGCCAAATAAATCACATACTGAATCACCCTGAGCGCTGTCCTGTGTGTCATCCATCACAATGAGTTTTTTCAAGTCCTCCACCACTGTGCTCTTGCGAACAGGCCGCGGGGAACATGCTGCTCGCAGTGATGCGATCACTCGAGGCTGACCAAACACATTCTTTGAGTTCACATTCACCTGACTGGAAAAAAAAAGTGAAACCAGTGCAAAACAAACTACTAAGAAAATTTGTTTCAGGTGATAACTTTTATTGATTTTTTGACACGTTAAAAAACGCAGCTCAAGTTAAAAGTAGTTTTAACTTTTACAAAATTTAAGGTCTTTTGACCTTGCATTTGAATGTTTTTTTTTTTTCATTCTATGAGTAGAATGATAATAAACAACATGAATATTAATCTGAACACTAAATGCCGCGATTGACCAATCAGAATCAAGTATTCTAATGAGAAGTGTAGTAACTGTAAATTAGTAACTGAACCTAAATTATGCTTCTGGCAGCAGCAATTTTAAAAGCATTATTACTATTTGCACACACTAGTATACAATACTATTAGCTACTACTATGAAAATAGTACATTAAAAATAATAAGAATACCCTATAAAGATCTGCCATCCTCTTACCTTTTTACATGGTTGTGCTCAGTGTTTTGTTGTGTGTACTGTGTCTTCTTTTGTTTTGGGCTGCAGTCAAGTTTAGCTGGGCTGGTTTGAGGTTGACATGACCGGTCAGGGTCACCCTGAGATGGTTTAATGTCAGTGTCAACACTCAAGCTAAATCTCTCATGATTTGCCTTTTCCAGTTTTGGACAAAGCGTTGCAGGCTGGTCTGCTCTAGACTGGCGTTCAGGGAACAGATGTACTGTGTTAATAGAAAGATGATCCTTGGTAGAAATATCCTCAGTGAATAAATTCTGGCTCTGACTCCAGACAGGTTGGTCATATCTAGGAGGTTTTCTATTGGGTTCTATTGGGAGACAGTCCTCTCTTAGATGGAGTTGGCTGAAGTGCTCTTTGTCCGGTTGATTTGAGGTTGGTGAAGTTTGAGAAACCACAGCTCTCATCAAAGGAGGCTTTTCCACCACAAAAGTTTTAACTTTTTGTGGTTTGAAACACAAAGGGCTGGCAGAAATAAAACACAAAGACCATAGACACACACATATTGTAGACACATAAAAACAAAGAATAAGGTAAGCTGTCCATACATTGCAAAAGGACATACACTGCAAAAATAAAGACAGATCCATTTTAAAAACATAAAAGTCATTTCATTACAATTCGAATGTCCTTTTTTCTTGGTGATGTTGGTAATTTCCAGTAAAATACAACTCCAGTATTAGATGGACTGATTGAATTTAGGGGACAGGGAACAACGCTATGCAACGTGGTGGGAATGTCCCACTTTTTACTGACTGTCCCACCCCTCCCCGTGGGATCTCATGGGTGGGAGGGGAACGAGGGGCACAATAATATTTCAAGTACTCAATCTTGGCTGAAAAGCAATCGTGAGGCATCATGGAAATTCATACTGGCTTAATCTGGCCTTTTCAACATAAATTGCACATACTTTTCATTATGACATGGTTTATGCATCTCACCTGGTTTTGAGAACAGCAGTTTTGGAGCACGGCAGAGGCAACGTGTGAGCAAAGAACTCCTTCAAGTTGTTTGTAGAAGAAGATTTTTTTGTGGACTGTGCAGCGTCACAGTGTTTTGATCGTGGGATTTTTGGACTGTAGAAGCCTGGCTGTGTCAGCGGGTGCAGCTTACGACTGCTCCTGAGGGACTCAGCAATGTTCTTGGCATCTCTACCATTCAAGCAGAAGTCATTAGCATAGGGTGAAAAAGAACTTGATTCTCTATTTGGCTGGAGAAAATGCGCCTACGAAACAAAAAGAAGATTTGTTTGCAACAAATTGTCAAGATTAATTGCCCCCAATTTACTGATTTGTTACTTATCTTTCAAATACAGCTTTCTTTAATTTTCAAGAGTCAAAAGCAAATGGTAAACAGTAGCGAAGTAATTTCACTTAATGTACATTTTCAAGTAGGCTATCTTTACTTTACCGCATTTTCATTTTTAGGAAACTTTTACTTCATTTCTAAGCACCAACAGCTTTTTAAATGCAGCATTTCAGAAAAATTTTCCATTCCTCATTTATTTTGAAATTCGAGGTCCAAGCACAAACTCTGCTTAGTGGCCAATTATAATTATTTTATTGATCATGTCAATGACAGTGTTGATTGCCTACAAAACGATGAAATAAATATTAACCCTATCCCTAACTTTAACACTGTATAGCATTGGTAGCAAATCCTGGTAGATACCATTAGTGATTGTTGCAATAAGATCAGTCCTTGTTTTTTGTAAACTCAGTTCTGGGGGTTGGGGGAGAAATCAATCCTTTGGGCAAGAGTTCATAAATGACTCATTCTTCTGAGATGTTTATTTTCAATGAATCAATTGTACCAATTCCCAAATTGCACTGCCTGATTTATTTGTGATTTTGACTGATCCGACTGTAGCACTTAACAAAGCTCTAACCTACAGCAGAGTACAGTAGACATTAGACTCCTATCTCTTAAAATATATGTTATGAGAAGAGGATGGAGTATACAAAATAAAATAAAATAAAATAAAAAAGAATTAAATCTCACTCTTGGCAAGATGTTGTAAAACACCCTCTGCTGGTCTTCCCTCTGGCCTCTTCTTTCCCTGCCAAGCAATGAGCGAGTGGCTGTTACCATATGCCATTCTCCTTCTGAAATGTATGATGAAATACCAGAGGCAAATTACACTAAGTGAAATGAACTACAGACCAAATGTTATCACTAACAAAAGCATGCAGAATCTGCTACCAGACCTGTATTGTCTTTAGTTCTGGAGGGGTTCAATCGTGTGAACTCCACTTGCTCACTTGAAGGCCAGTCAAAGCTTTCTTGCATGGGTGAACTACAATGTGAACGATCATAGAAACTAAAAAAGATGGTCATTTTCACCAGGTCAAAGTGTAATGATTATCATATATGGTAAAAGATTACATCTCACCTCACAGGGCTAGCATGCCTGAACTCAGAACTGATTTGTAGAGCTGGCTTCTGTGGAGGAGTTGTAGCGTAATCCAAGTCCCAGAACAATGCAGCCATCTTTCCTGGATTCCTGAATATCCTTATACATACAGCCAAGATGTATGCAACAGCCAAGATGATAACATAATCATTTTCCTTCAAGACAGCCTTCCTGATGTGTTTAAGTCATCATCTGAAATGTGTTTGTGGATTTGGAGGACAAAATGATGGTACAGACTGCTCCAATTCATCTGAGCTAGCAGAGAAAGCAGGGGAAGAGCTGTGTGGGAACAGAGGATGGGATTGTGTTGTCTGTTGTTAGTACTGTGCTTGTTTGCTCCAGGCAACATAATGCTGTTATGTGCACTGCGATGAACTGAAAATAAAAGATTAACATTTAACATGTGCCTTCCAGAATATTAGCTAAAAATCCTACTGAAAACATGGATCTAAATAAATTAACGATTTCTGCTCGATCTCAGCTGCATGCTTTAATTGCAGCAAAAGGGCAACATACAAAATACTATCAAATTCTGAAATCCAACTTCTCCAAACTGCTGGATGGGAACCTGGAGCCTATCCCAGCGTCTTGGGTTACAGGCTCTGAAATTCCTAATAATTAAAAAAAAAAAAAAGCTAAGTCAACAATCTTGACTTTCTACTGATATTGTAATCTGTATTGATATTGTATTTGATGAAACAGCTTACAATAATACATGCTAATTTCCGAGTTTATTTCATTAAGGAAATCAGGAAATATTCTGCCATTTACACTGAAGCTAAAATATCACACTTAAAGGGGTCATATGATGCGATTTAAATGTTTCCTTTCTCTTTGAAGTGTTACAAGCTCTTGGTGCATAAAGAAGATCTGTAAAGTTGCAAAGACTAAAGTCTCAAATCCAAAGAGATATTCTTTATAAAAGTTAAGAGTCAGCCACTCCTACCTAAAACGGCTCGTTCTAACACGCCCCCACATACCTACGTCACGATGTGGGAAGATGCATAATTGCATAATGCCGCCCAAATGTTCACGTAAAGAAAGAAGGCGTAACTTTTATTCTCGCTGTAGTATTGTTGCCGCCACCGCTTTCGTTGTGAAAGCGAAAAATAATGTTCTTTTTAGCAACATCATATGACCCCTTTAAAAAAATGTCTTATCCTCCAGCGGACAACAGTAGTATTACAGCCTTCATCTGTCATTCACATTGGAAATAAATGGCTGATATTTTTTAAATTGCTGTTAGATATTTGGCATGTTTCTTGAATGTCCTGTTTGTGTGTACCAAGTTTTGTGAAGTTTGGATGTTGCTCTCACAAGATACAGGCTATTTAGCCATTATAGGCCAAAATAAATCACCCGAAAATATATAGGTTAAACCAGGGGTGTCCAAACTCGGTCCTGGAGGGCCGGTGTCCTGAAGAGTTTAGCTCCAACCCCAATTAAACACACCTGAAGCAGCT